TAAATATCATGCTGACGCACACACACACACGTACACATGTGCTTGCCGTATGATTGCATATGCGATAGAGATAGATGGATTTTGGTGGACGCGGCAATGCCGCATGAATAAATGTTGTTAGTTTTTGGTTCGTTTGTACTGCTGCGTCTGGTTTGTTCGCACTAACAGAGTTGCATATGTTTATTTACTTGCATCTAATACAACGGTATCGTTTGTGTTTTTCGATAAATTAACAGACCGGGTGCTAGTTAGAATTTATTATAACTGCTCCTTGTTCTTCTTTGTTGCCGTTGCACATTTTCAATTGATCGCATGTTTGCCTGACTGCACACTGCATTCGGCTTGATGATTATTATTTTTCTCGTTTTCGAACATTTGGCAAAGGGAGGCCGTTTCTCATTTCCAACCAGATTTTATGCATATCATGTTAGAATTAAACACGCATTTTTTTCTTTCGTGTTTTATGTACAAATGTACATATATATTCGTGTTTCGTTTATTCGTCGAGTTGATGAAAATTCCCATGAAGCATACAAACGTTGATTACTCGAAACTACAATGCGGTTGTTGCCAAGATGACAGCAACCTAATATAAAAAAATATTTCTAACCGTAGAAACGATTATTTATTATGATTCATCTATTGAAGAATTCACCAATTTTTTTTTCGTTTTTTTAGACCGCAGATTTCTTTATGTGCGTACATCGATTGCCAAAGAAGATAAAGAAAAAGATTTTGCGCATCAACCAATGTGGTAAACTACACAAATGAAGTGTAAAAAATGTTTTCATATATAGTTTACGGAGAATTTTTAAAAGAATAAAACAATTCTTCATATTGTGCAATCGAATAACCGACGTTGGAGTTGAGTATTTTCTTTTGTTTTTTTTTTTTGGTTCGGTATAATAATAATATTTTTCTTGTGCACGAGACTTTGTATTGTTCTATTGTTTAATGGCTACCTCTATTTTGATGTTTTCATTAAGGACTGCTTGGCATTTTCTTTCTTTTACCAAATCAAGGAATCACATCTTAACATTATTCATCCTCTACACTATAATATTGTTGTTTCCTTCACTCATTTTTTTAAATTCATTGTTAATCAAAAAAATTTCAGGATGATGCCGATTTTTTTTGTGATTTACAAAGAATGAAAACTAAAACTGAGCATTGAAAGTGCTGTAAAAGTGAAACCTTTTCATTCAATCGTGCCAGAGTGGGTAATTTTTTTTTTTTGCATTCAACGAATGCCGGAAGTATGGCAATTGTTCTCGAGCTCGTAACGTTTCAAGTTACGCTCACATGATTATAATTACAAAATATTCTGACTGAATTCTATATTTTGAACGATCACTTTTTTTTACATACAGTTGTCTGCATCTAGTTGGCTTGATCTTAATTACTCAAAATAGTCTAAATAAATATGTAAATTGAAAATGCGTTCAATGCCATACTCTTTTCTCACAAATCGAATACATTTTACAAATGAATATCACATCCCATTTATTTGAAATATTCTGAACTGATAGTTTTTATTCGCAATTCGATGCTTTATTGTATAACGGTTACAATGTGACCGAAACCTTGATTTAGTTGTGATTTTAACTATAGTTCAAAAACCCATTATTCAACCAATCAACAATTGGCCAAAATATATCATGTGACAATTTTGAGAAGAATAGATTACAAGCCATGAACATTTAAATAGAGGGAGAACGAGAGAGATAAACTCGCAAATTAAATGACCCGCATCACGTTTATGTTCCAAAAACATTGTCATATGAGTGAGCTGTATGTTTATTGAGATGATTAAGTCTGCAACAAAACTGAAAGAAAAATAAGGGAGAAAAGCAACACTTATTATGGAACTAATAATGACTAGACTTATTCTGATTTTAAAATGACCTTATTGACCGCAAAAATCGTAATAAAACAACCGAATAGACTTACTTTTTTTGATAAATTCGTCAAAACTGAAGTTAAATATTTTTTTTTAGAAATTGACTTCCAAACTTGTCATTTTCATATGTAGTCCAAGCTATAGACAAAACTTGAATTGAAGATTTTCATCAAGTTTTCACGATAGATATCTTATGTCAATTGTTGTTTTTAGAAAATGCCGAATGAACTTCAAAGTAATAAATTATGACAAAAAAATCTCGATTCCAATTTATAAAATGTTCGTGGTTTATTGCGTTAAATTTAACACAATATATACAAATACACGTTGATTTAAATGGTTTCATCCAATTTTAAATATTTGTCTGACTAGCGACAGACTACGCGTATAATTAGGTATTGAAAAAATGCAACCAACCTCAATTTCGGCCCTAATTTCTGCCCATTGATTCTCATTGGGTGTGAAAACGTCAAAATTTATCGTTTGCCATCTCTGTGGAATTCCTTAATAGTATTTATTTACTTAACAGCAACAATAAATCAATTATTCCATCGAAAAAGTGTTTATCAAAAAATATCTTTAATCGTCGGTCATTAATTTGCATTTCTGAACATAGCTCAGCTCACAGGTAACCGTTTGATTTATACAAACAAAAAATCAACATTCATAATGCGACAAAATCATATGGAGATCAGTTTTTGGCTTTTTGTCGGTGAATAATGAGTAAATTTGGAACTTTAGAATGCAATTACTGTACCATATTCGGTGCGTATCGCTTCTATTGATAGCTAATAACAATTTTTGAATATAACCTATTTGGTTAATATGGATTCGGTGGGAGTTGTTTTATACTTTTCAGCCAAAAAACAAAACAAAAATTACTTTGTACATGCACAAGGATGTTTATTATAACAAGAGTGAGAACTAGACGAACAACATTTGCCAAATTAAATGACATGATATTTTTTTAAAGTATTTTTGAATTTTCAAATAAATTATACCATAATTCAATATTTATACCTATATACTTTCCATATAAACATCTTTAGAATTATAAGCCATGAAAAAAAATATAATTAATTTCAGTGCTGGATTAAGGTATCGATACTTGATTTCTGTATGAGTTTATGTACATCGTTTATATATTAAAAACACAAAATGTCAAAATATATCTTATAATCTCATCATATGTTTATACATATTTTTGTTGAGTTCAAACCAAAACTAAGTGCCGGTCATTTTTCAATCCAATGTTGAAATAAAAATGTCGGGATGATACTTATTAATTAGATAAGCGACTTAATTTCTCTCTCTCTCTCTCTCTCTCTCTCTCTCTTAATTTTTTGAATTTGAATATTTGACTAATTTTTTTCTTGAACGCAGTCGGAACACTTTGAATGTGGTGTCGCCAAGATCGCAGAAAATGTGTGATGAGCAAACAACAAAAAATGTTCAAATATCAATGAGAAATGATTTTTTTTCTCATATGGGTTACCATAATACGTCAACCAAAAATAAGTGAAATATTGAAAATAAACCATGAAAAATCTCATGCCACAAATATTGGATTCTGCTATTTTCTTTATTTAATGATTTTTTTTAGTGGATTTATGATTATTAACAGAAATGGAAATTTATTCAAATCATAACTCGTTTCATTTTGATAGGTGGCAGACTTGATAGTATCAAGTTGATACTTTCTTTATTCTGATTCGGTTGCGAGTGTGGAATATTGGAATTATACTACAGAGACTCACTACAGTATACATGAAAAATGAATTCGATAACGAATCAACGAATCAAACACATGTAAATATCTGACTAATCGAATCACACTTGTTTTTTTTTATTTTTATATCACACAAACCGACTGGTTTTGATTATTCAGTGGCTGCGCATGTGAATGTTTGCCTTTTTAATTAAGATCAACGTTAAAATGAACATTCTGCGAAGAGCCATTAATTGAATGTTAATGTTTTTAAAGACATTTGAATGTAAACCAATGAATTCCCGGGACCATCTGATATTTAATTAATTGCAGCGTCGTATGTTTGGTCAAAATATGGAAATCTTGGGTTGATAAAAATTGTAAAAAAAGTGAGAAAATATAAAAAATAACGCCAAATAAATGTTTCTGATGCTATCAATGTGATGTTATCTTGGTGAAAATGTGGTGTGAAAACATTTAAACCTATACTTATCATTTTCCACATGTTTCCCAACAACAGTTGTTGTTAATCGGTTTTACGATCGGCTTACACGTAAAAATGACCAAATTCTTTTTTACGGCAAAAATCCCAATTTATTTCAGCAAATTATACGCTGCTTTGGGCGTTTGTCTTTCTTTGTTCTATTTATTTATAATTTATAACTAAATCTTCTCTACTGTTAACCAAAGCAAGCATACTTAAAAGGAAATTCGATCGTTTGATTTTTGCCCGTCTTGTTATGTCTCTTTCTCGCTCAATCTCTTTGTCTTATGATTGAACAAATATAATCGATCTCTTTTGGATGTGGCAAAAATGTTAGAATATTATATTCCAAATAACTTAATCCATTCGATATAAAAGTCAGTAAACGCATGCAAATATGGTCGTAAAATTGTTAGTTTTATTGACGAAAATAAAAAAAAAAGAAACGAAACGTTGATCTTTACAATACATTGATTTTCATACATTTTTTTTTTAACAAAATACATTTTGTTAACGAGCTCCACCCAGCCTATATAGTCACCACAACTGTATCAACAAGTGTGACAAACAAGTTTTAAATAAATGTTTGAGTTTTTGTTTGTAATTGTAAATATTGATCAAATAATGTGTACCATACAACAGCATATACATGATATATAAAATAATAATATGTGATGAAGTCTGTTATGAATGTAGCCAATACCTTTTACCACTGTGCTTGGTAAGATTGATGTTGGTACCGCTCCAAAGTTAAACTCATGTGAACACCCAATATCAAGAGCAGTGAAACACCATCGTACTGCATCGCATAGAACTTGACATTTGATAAATGTAAATAGTACAGTTGTTCTTCTTGAATTTATTTGAGAGCGTTTCCACTGAATAACTTTATGAATAAAAAAATCGGATTATTTCTACCAAAAATTGTATTCATATGTATGAAAATATATTTATGATTTTTTGGAAATTACATATAAATATAAATGTTTACATAAAGAATGTTTGATTAATGAAACAGTTTTTTTAATTTCTTAAGCTTACTTTTCTTAAAAGTAATGTGTTCTTTTCAGTGGAGAATGTCTTCCTATTCTGCAACTTGACCAACAGGTGCCGAATCGGCTTCTGTCGGCCGTAGGCGCCGAATGCTTATATCGTAAACGATTTCTTCAATCTTCTTAACATCATATTTCAATCCATCAAAACGTTTACGGAGACCATCATTTTTCAAATTCAATAGACGAAATCCAGCGCTGAGATCAGCAACAAAACGAGAAATTTGTATGGGTCGCTCGTAATCGCCCAATGTGACAGCATTGGTGGCAAATCGACTCAGTTCTGATGCCAATTGTAACACACCTTGCAAGTAGTCTTCAATGTCTAGATGAAAACCATCGTTTTGATTGGTCTTCACTGTGAAAAAAAAAAAAATGAAAATTCCAAGAAACTCAAGATTGTTTGAAAATTTATATACTTACAGCCAAGTATCTCAGCAACCGTGTCACGTTCAACCAAAGTTCCAACTTCGAGAAAAACAGTCAAAGCAATCAGGAAAACGATACGTTGAGTAAGGTATGACCAGTGATCATTGTAACGATAATACTGGCCAACTGGCACCATTTTTGCCAATTTTGCATACAATTTGTTACAAATTTCAAATTGTTCACGTGCCTTCAAACAACCCGAAGAAACTGATATAAACACAATTGGAATGTTGAATGAGTCATTTGTTTTTTTTTTTTCAACTGGTTATGTTTCACATAAAACAAACAAAATATTAAATTTGCTTACCTTCTGTTAAACTGGTATGGATCACTTGCAGTGATAATATAGAATCACGTACGACCAAATCAATTTCTTTTATAATTGATCGAATTTCCTATTGAACGATAAACAAAGATAAATGAGTGAGTGAGATTGTGTGAATGTTCGAGTCATTAAAATAAATTTTAAGTGTACGTTTTTCAGAACACGCGAACATTTTATAAATTAAATTTTAATGATCTACTGGCATGGTGATCGATTCATTTTAAATGCGAGTATATCCAAGCAAACATTGCTTTTTCGAAAATTATTGAAATGAAAATTTCATGAAATATTATTGACTAATGAAGATTTTTCTAACCTCCAAATTGGGGTGTTAGTAAATTTATATTTTCATTTCTTGTAATTGAATTTGAAAACTTACATCACGGACTTCCTGTTCATTATTCAAATGATCTTGAAATTTGGTGAAAAGTTCTTTTGGAGCACGAGCCATTTCTTTTTATTTTCGTTTTGTAGTCTAAGATTGATGACTAAAATTGTGCAGGTATGTTGAAGTGGAAAGCAGACAAACAACGAATGAATGTCAAATGTATATACAAACGTCATTTTCATACAATGGTTCATGTCTTGGGCGAGATATTTCATAGGTTTAGCGTTAAATAAGAAGTAATGTTTGAAATTAAAATTGAATTTGAAAATGACAATTTATTTCAACAGAAATTATTTATTTACATAATTTAAAGGAAATATATTTGACACATTGACGCTTGGTTTTTTACTTGCATACTTTAGAAAATTGAAATTATTGCATTGTTCATATTTCCAGTACATTTTTAGTTGGCATTTGAATCAGCGCTAAATCTGTTGCTAAGTTTGATATTTTTCGTCTATGTTTGGAGAGTGTCTTTGATAACCAAGCCTGTTTATTGTGTTTCTGCTGTGTTTTTGAATCAGTTTTAGCTTTTAAATTAATTGTGGAATTAAATTTGGCAATAAGTCTAAAAACACTAGTTTGCCAGAACTACTATATTATTTTTAATTAAAAAGGTACATTTATTTTAAATCAAATCCTAATTGGGTTTAATTGGGGAAAATATTCTTGTTATCTGCCATAGAAAAATCAATAATTCAAATATACAAAAAGAATTTGAAGAGTAAATTTCTTGAACGATATGGTTGACCGAAGCGAATATATAATAGACCAATCGATTACAGAAGGAATGGAAAACCTACTGGCACGACTAATACGAAAGTAAATATAATTTTTGTAATTAATTATATGAATAAAATTTTGATAAAAACTTTACAATATACAGGTATCCAGTAATTTATGACAGAAGCATGAAACTGAAAAACGGAGGGCAGTCGTTTCAAGAAAAGTACGATATCGCTTGGAACAAAATATCGGATGAATTGAATTTAGAATTGGAAAGTTGTAAATCTTTATGGTCATGCATGAAGCAAAAGTACATAAAGCATCGCAAGCGGATTGATAACAATGAGCCAACCTCCGCGTGGCCTACGTTCAACATTTTACATGTCTGGCTGGACAAACATGTTAAGAAGCGAAAATCTCGTCATGATTATATAAAACAAATGAAAATGGTATCAAAAACATCTCTTGCAAGGTCCGAAATAAGCGAAGAAGATGACAGTAATGAACACACTCCAGAAGAAATGGAAGACAAACCCACTGCAACCATTCAAGTTAAATTAAAACGAAAGGCCGACTATTTGAATACAATCGCACAAAATAGTTCATTTAAATCCAATAACAAAAGGCTCAATATTGAATTGGTCAGTGAAAGTGAATCGACAGTGTATGAAAAAGATGACCTGTTGAATGAAACGCAAGAAAAAATGATTATTGATGATGCTGAAATTATTGTTCTCGAAGAAAGTCGAGCCAAACAACCGTCACCACAAATTGAAATAATCGATGTTAAAGAGTCTAGAAAATCAAATGATATCGATGAAAATTACCATAAAATTAAAAGCATTCTATCGAATTTCGCTCAATCAATAGAGCACTATGAAAACAATGCTTCCGATTCAAATGATGCTTTTGGTAAATACATTGCAGCTATGGTTCGAGAACTGCCCGTCCAGAAAAGAATGAAAGTTCGTCTAAATATTTTGGAATACGTACATACATACGTGGCCAATGAAACGAACCAATCAAATAATTAAATTTGAAACGAGAATTTTGGCTATGGGTAGAAATGTATTCATTTTTCGCGGCATACTTGGCCTCTAAGTTTATGCTTTTAAACGGCATAGAGACTCAAAATCTTCATCATCCTTTGGTAATATGTCATTGTAAATTTCATAAAATTCATCGAGTAAACAAATGAAGCCACAACTTTTAATTTTCAGTGGAATCGCACACGGTGGAACTATCATCTAATTGAAGAAAAAAGAAAAGGTATTCCGTTGTTACAAATAATCGCTATATATACACGAAATATACGAAATCCAGACTCAGAAGGCTTTTGGCCCCGATTCATGTATGGTTGGAAAGGCCTTGGGCCATATATCAAGAAAAAATGTCAAAGTTTGAAATCGGTGCACCTGTCTTCAAAATAAGATCCTTTCAAAAAAAGGGTCAAAATTCAGTTCTACGGCCATAGATGGCACTCAATGAGGTCGTCGACCCCTGAAATATCGATATTCGGATTGTAGAGCTCAATACCTTTCCAACGAACCCCAAACCATCGAAATCGATCAATTCGTTCGAAAAATTCAGCATTTTATAAAGAACAATGCCAAAAAGTGAGCCAGCTGTCATTGCTTGCAAAACATAATAAGTATTAGGATGTAATCCTAATAACATTATTATGATTTTATCATGATAAGTTAATAAAATCATAATAACGTTATTAGGATCCGATCCTAATATTGATATAGAACATAATAATTATCATCCTAACAAAAATTTATTACGATATCGCAAAACGCAAAACTATATGGAAGCTCGCATTATCATGATGAAGAATTATTCTGCGACGGCGATCGTTTTTTCTCAATTCACCAAACACTTTGGGCAAACAAATGGTGGTGTACCAATCAGAATTGACCGTCCTACGATCCTCTAGTGGAACGGTTGCTACATGTCCACTCATCGCTCATCGTGAAAAAAAAAACATGTCCACTCAGGCAACCATTTGCTTCGAAGTGCTTCTTGTTCGAACAACTTTCGTTGGGTTATCTTCACTTTGGAAGACCCATACAGTCGACTGCTGTTTACTTTCGGGCTCATATGCATATATCCATATTGAGTTCACTGAATTTTCACGAGTCAATTCCATTTTTTCGCTGAGACGCAATTGGCAAGTCACTGTAAACAATACAAATAGCGATCGTATGACCTAAAACAAATGTTTAGCACAACAAAACCGAATCTGATCTATTATGTAAAGGTTACCTTTTATGAAATTTGCAATACTTTACTATGAAAACTATGTTTCAACAAAAATTGTAATTCACACTGAAAATATCAAAATTACATTGATCAAACCATGCAAGGTTGATTCAACAACAAACAATCTAAAATGACGTTAATACAAATTAACATAAAACACCAGTGACGTTACTTGAACGATTCCTTATTTTAATCAAATATTCTGAAACGGACTTACTTTGCTAGATCGCTAATTTTTAAAGTTGTTGTTGCCCAGAAAACAAATGAATTTAAAACACACGCGGTTGTTCTTTTTTCTTTAAATGATTGGGATCCGGGTTTTAATTAAATTCCGTCAAGAATGTTGAACAATTGTACTTACAAACTAAAGCCTAGCTTCTATTCGATCGACCTCAAAATTTCTTTTGTTCGCTTAAAATACCTTCGATGGAGCTCATTTGTTCTTATTGAATCGATTTAAACCATTTAATCCACGCAATTGGTTTTCCGCGACGTCTTCGTTCCAAATCTTTGGTTATGTCTCGATGTTTCACATGGTGCATCGACTTCGCGCCGATGATGGAAGAAATTCGTCGGATTGATGCATTTCGCTATTCGTTGATCAGTGAAAATACATGGCAATCTCCCGCTAATTACATGTGCTGGTTTTGCGGTCAATCGATTGCGTTATCGAAAATGCTTACACGGTAGACGGTCTTGTGTAAAACATTTGTTCGGTACGAACAAATGCGCACCAGCTCTCTAATAGGTCATACTTGGGCGACGGTCCGACGAAGAAGAAAGTCTCTCTTCTTTTTTTCTGCGTTGACAGTTTACTTTCCCGTCTGGAACGGTGGTGACCATTTTGCAAGCATGAGTGACTATTATATTAGTTTTCATTTGACTGGATTAAAATCCCATAACAATTCTTAATATGATTTCATAAATTTTACGCTAATTGGTACCAAATTGCAGTGCTTATACCAAGAGTCAAGTGCAATAAGGGCACACTTTATAAACGCCATCTATTAATAACCGGCTAACTACAATGTAAATCAAACGTATCTGTTTCCCCTTTTTATTCACTCCCTCCCCCTCTCGTAAATGGCACTATCAAGCGAAAAGGCCGAAATTCTTGGATCTCGTTTGAAGCAATGGAATTTAGTTGCTCCAGATTTCAAAATTACTGCCAAGCGCAAACGTGATCAAGTTTCTGATTTTGATGAATGTTTTGAATACTACGAAACAAGAAAAATGGCCTATTGTCATGATATTAAATACAAATTGTTTGAAGTTATTGGTCACCCATATGATTCACAGCAATGGAGATTGTTCATAGATTCTTCAGTGGAAAGTATGAAAGGCGTCCTCCTGCATATTGGTAATATATATCCATCTGTTCCACTCATTTATGTTGCAAAAGATGATTCGAAAGAAGACTACGAAACATTGGAACTTTTATTGGAATTGATCAACTATGAGCGTCATGAGTGGTTAATTTGCTGTGATCTCAAAGTTGTGGCAATTTTGACCGGTGTAAAGCAAGGTTATTCGAAACATCAATGCTTTCTGTGCAACTGGGAAGGCTGGCAAAGAGAAAAACACTATTCCAATTTCCAATGGAAAATGCGCGATACCTACCCAACAAACATTTGTTGTGGCAAATTCATCCATTATCGGGCATATGTTGACGGTCAATATTGGGGTTGGATTTGTGTGTAGTTTCAGTCAATTTTACCGTCAAAATGGAAAGGAAAAAAAGAAAAAAAAACAATTCAGTTAGATTGAATGCAAAAATAAACTATCAATTCAATAAAGTACTCACCTACGGGTTCTTTTATATTCCGCACAGCCCTAAATAGGGACCCGTACTGCGGTCAAGGGTACAATAGAAATCCTTGGATTTAAACTATTCACGCCTAGTAACTAACAAAATTGTTAAAATATTCTTCTTATGATTATTGTTGATTTTATGCTGCTATCAGTTGACATTGTTCGCATGGTGTGGATTGTCAGGTCTCTTCAACGAATCGGGCAATGGTATGCCAAAAAGACGACACATTCCTATAAAATCAGAAACAAACACAAAACATTAATCAATTAATATGAACACTGAACACCTAACGCTCTGCTCTCTATTCTCAATTTAATATTAATACAATATACAATTATGCACATACCTTTGAATAAAATATTCTTTGCGGCAACAATGTCACGGTGCCAAATGACTACGTGCTCAATCATGTCTTCTGGTGCAGCATCACCCAATTCATGGTATTCTCGAGTTAATGACCAAGTTTTGAAGATAACTTTTATCTTTGGCACTAAACGCTCGATGTTCTCACGATCTGGATTGATTGCTCTCTCTACAATTCGCTCTTTTTTAAGCTCTTGTCTGCTCAAATTCGTCACAATTATCGGTGGTAGTCCAACAATCGGTTTTGGTATGCAATTTCGACAAATTTTGAATCGATGATTTTTGGTTTCTCTTGGAAATCGCTCGTGACAATTGGCACACGTTATTGATGTACCCCATTCATCTTGAAAACTGACCTTTGTGTGCTCTTGTTTCTTGAAGCTGGTCGCCAATTTACGCGTTCCTGGGCATCTTTTCCGCTTCTTTATGCCCCATGGCCGATTTGGTGCCATTTCTCCAGCACCAATCCAAATCCAAGACGGTTTGTTGTTCGTTACCCGCATGGCAACTTTATCACTTGTTTTGGTAGCCTTGATGTGGTGATCGAGATCCAATCGTGCATATTTTCGAGTCGCATATGCTTGCATTCCCATTCGTAGCATTTTGATGCGATGCAGAATGTACGCTTTCCATGTGGATCCACGCGGCGATGGTATCACTGGGTACGACTTGAAATCCATTTGTTCTTCTTCAACAAACCACCAGGTCAACCGATCAGCCTTCCGATCTCTCTTCTTCTGCTCGGTTTGCCAATGAAATCGTGGATTGGATATTTTAATGTTTTCCTGTTAAATAATAACGTCAAATTTCAATCACGTTCCAAAAAAAAAAATATTGTAATAACAAACTTAACTTACCTCAATGTTTGACTTGATATGGCGGCGCACAACGGCCACCCACGTTTTCTCGTTCGGATCGATGGCACTAGCATATGTCATGTTGTTAAATGTGGCCTGCTCCGAATTTTCCACCCAAGCCTTCGCTGGCTTCTCGTACAATATTGACACGCAAACACTATTGGTGATGATTTGCGAGTGAAACCGCTTCTGCTTGCCGATTTGTTTGATTTTATCCATGTCGAAAACCAAATTCCACAATTCATCTCGATGGCCGTACAAGTAATAGTCCAGTGTGTATTTGTTCATTCGATTGGTCAGCGGATTGCGAGAACTGGGCACCACTCCTAGTACAGTGTTCGCCAAATAATACATATCTGTCATATCCAATCGAACGTTTTTCAGTTGGAATCGGCATAACGGGACAAGTGCGAAATTGTTCACTTTTGGCGGTCGATTGTTCGTTATCAATCCATCGCGACGGAACGCATGCCATTGTTTTGCATATTGATGAAACACTTCGATTTGGCGTTGCATTTGACCGAACATCCACAGTGATTGGAACCAATTGTCCTTAACGAACTCATTGACAGTGACTGGAACCAATTGTTCATTATGAACTTTTTGACACTGCCAACCGATTCTTTCCAGTTCATACAATAAAATTTTCATCTTATTTGTTCTCTCTACATCACCATGTGTCAGATCTTTGTTACTAGTGGCGTAAACTTTTGCGTTTCGTATATCGATGCCGTCAAATTTTGATCCATTGTATTGATGGCCATTGATATTCATGTTATAATACCAGCGTTTCATTTGAAAAAACGATTCAACATGTTCTGAACAATGAGTGTTGAGATTGGTCTGAGTATTTCGAATGTGATCTTGGTAGAAATAATTAAAACCATTTCCCAAGCATTCTTTATCGGGCCATGCAAAATCTTCTTCACCGATGTGAGCCTCGACAATGTTACGAAAAGCTGGCGGCATTAGTTCCTCTCTGTCGACTTTATCGGCTAAAACACCGTTAAAGCACTCAATGAAAAATGTTTTACCGTTTTGTAGAAAAAATTGTCGGTTCTCATCATCGATGGCTTCTTGAATTTTGTACAACGCCAACAATGATGCCAGTGACGAAATCAGTGTCATTTTGTAGCTTCGATGATCCAAAAACTGAATCACTCTGTCGCGATATTCTTCCCGTATGATTGACTTGACGCCTTGTTTTATGACTACAAGGTTCTTAATGTCGTCTTTCCTTTCGGGTGGACTGTATAAATGAAACGAAAACAAAGAAAAACATACACACTTATTTAAAAAAAACTGGTCACAAAACAATATCGCGAAATTGCATCGAAAATCCAATGAAAAAAAAAACACAGAATAAATATTAAGAAAAACAATGCTTACATATTAAATTGATCCTCTCTTGATCTTGTTCTACTCATGGTTTAATCAATCAATCACAATTTCTGGTGCTTTTCCAAATATTATGGGATAGTTATCACTATTTTCGGTTGCAATCAATTCGCATCAATTTCACAATTCAAATTGTAATTTTTAATGTGTTTTCAAATAGCTTCACAGCGCGAACGGTAACTTTGAACTAAAATGAATGCAGAAATGTACCGATATTTATAGCAAATTATTGCTGTATTGCAAAAAGTCAAGCCTCGAAAACTAAAATGACTGGAATTAAACGATTCTATTGATACATCAATATATGCAAACAAATTTACAATATTTTCATTCAACAACTCAATCACTCCACTTTGATTTGCCACAAAACTCTGCCGAAAATGCATTTTTAAACAGGAACATAACAAATCACAAACGAGAGAATTGTCGAAATGGCTCTTTTTTCAAATGTGTTTCGATGATTTGGAATATTAACAGTAATACTTTATAAATGTTCTGTCGTTTGAATTGAAAACAGAAACAGACACAAAATATTTCCGCAAATATATCCATCACATTTCGTGAACACACGATATCGTTGTATCAAAACACTGACGAAGCACATCACAAAAACAAGCGGTGATCGGGAATACTGTTGTACGGTCAAAATCCTACAGTTTGTTGCATTCGCACTAGTATTTCGTTTACAGAAAAACAAAAACACAAGCACATATTATATTGTCTCTCTCACATGTTTCGTTTCTTTGTGCTGTGACATAAAAAAGCCACTGATACAATATTAGCACTAAAATCCATTTGTCTTATTTTATCATGTTGAAAACTGAAATCGGTTGT